ATCTGATGAGATAGTGGCTTTATAAGATTTAAGAACGTTTAATCAGCAAATACGCGCACGCGAATAAACCTCAAGTAGATTCCAAAGAGTCAGATTTGTATTTTCCTACGTGCCGGTAATCTGATCATTGGAATTTTCTTCCCTGTCTTTATTCTTTTTCTCCTTCACTCTTTCTCTATCTAAATCTTGAACCGATATCCAATCAGATTCGATTGAAGGAGATTCCATTTATTTAGTACCTTTTTTATAATAAAGTTTTTGCACGTAATGACATAGCAAATGTATATGAGGTATAAATAATGTTTCTTTTTGACAGATAAAGATTGAAACAGGGAAAAAGAAAGAGAAAATGCTTCATCTATTTAGTCCGCAAAACACTGCCTTTCGAAAATGACTTTCCTATTTCAAGTTTATAAAAAATGATTACATTTGTATAAGGTTACATTTAAATGGAATGAATGAATTCTATCGAATGTAAATGGAATTCTACTAGCAGAATCTTACAGAGGTCCTCAAAGTAATTTCTTTTCTGGTTTTCTCTGGCAACATGTGTTTTATATGTACCAAATGAGAGTTTAGTGATGGTACACTCTGCCATATTGTCGAATCAAAAATCTGTTTATCACGTCAGACGATATTTTTGAATTAAGCGAGAATTACGCGATTACGGATAAGAACCAAAAGTCTTGAAGTAACTCTACGCGGTTAATACTGTCAGTATTAACAAATACTGACAATATTACTGATTATGCGTCGTTAATATTGATTGACGTAGAATATTGGCGATGATCTGGATTTTGATTCTCGATCAATATCGCTTTATTAAAATCCACAGTATATTAATATTATTATTATTATTATTATTATATTCACAGTGCAATAAATAATGTACGTAAAACAAAAATACATTGTCAATAATACTGATCGTGTATATGTTGTAAAAATATTGGTATATACTATCAGTATTACTGATTCGATATTACTGATCAGCATTATTGATCGTGTAAGGTCGCCTTTGGAAAGCGAGTTTTTAGGATTTACAGAAGAGCGATGCGGAACACATTGTGCCGTGTATATCGGTAAATAGGCATTTGTCCATTACACAGCACTTGATACTCCGCATCGTGTCTTCGTGCTTCTGGATTATTTACGAGGCGGATGAGACCTGACTCTCGTAACATTCTGCAGACTTGGATTGCGAGGAACTGTCCATTATTCAACAGGATGGCCTGTTTCGAAATATCTCTTCGTTGACGGATTACTTAATTCATATATTTCAAAGAACACTCATCGGCAACAGATATGACATATTTTGACTTGTGTTTGAACGAAGCATAATTGTCGATCGATTAATTTTTCATTAATAATTAATAAGAATTACTATAGTTATGGACTCTCGAAATTCAAATAATGTAAGAAATTAGGCAAATAAGAATTCGGTGCGGTACTTAATGCACAATCACTGATTATGTGTATATATAAATTATATAAATTATATTCTTGACTTGCCGTACACTCGAACGTTTCGACCGTCTCTTGGGGTCATCCTCAACGAGATCAATGAAGAAAAAGAAATATAATAAAGTTTTCACCCTCCTGCGTATCAAAATTTTATTATATTTATTTTTCTTCGTTGATCTCGCTGAAGATGACCCCAAGAGGTGGTCGAAACGTTTGAGTATTGACAGCAAGTCAAGAATATAATTTATATATACATGTAATCAATGATTGTGCATTAAGTACCGCACTAAACTCTCATTTGTCTAATTTTCTACATTATTTTTATTTTTCATCGTTGATTTTGCTGTAAAAAAAAATCAAAAGATATTAATCTTTAAGTGAGTACGTAGGGTGGCCACAACACCTCGGACATGTTAAAGAATTTTTTAAAATTGTAAATATGATTACACAACAACTTGGAATAAAGCCTTTTAACAGTCAAACTGGATCTTAGGTGCTTAAATAATTCAGTGCGAATTTATATTCCATATGTGTAGTTATTTAAATATATAGATTTTCTTTAAACCTTTGTTCTGGAAAAAGGAAATATTGCCTAGATTCCTAGAAGTCTTAAAATTTATTATTTTTACATTTCTCTATCTTATAAGGGTATAATTAATGTAAATTTAATTATAACTTAACCAATACACAAAATATAATCATAAAGTTAAAATTTTTTTGGAGTGTTCTGAGCATTCTACCTATCCACTTGCAAATCTTTAAACTACCTACACTGAGAAAAAAGTCAAAACATTTACAAGCAAGTGCTACAACACAAGCAAGTTCCGTTTTCTTCAATATATTTATTGGTTATAAAAAAATTTAACTGTTACTCCTCGTATTTAAATAAAGATTTAGTTCATTATAAAATAAACGTTATATCCTATAAATAAATTTTTAAGTATCTTTATCTCAATGTAACCTGCTTAAAGATTAAAAGGGATTAATAAGCTGCATTTAAAATTGTGTTGTATTATGTTGTATTAAGTACGTTTTTGTTAATCAATAAATATTAATTATGTATGTCAGAGTATCCGCGTCAAGCTGTTAATAACTTAACAATAATCCATGGTTAATGAAGAGCATTGTTTTTGCAAAATTGTCCATTCGGATTTCAATACTGATGAGAATAATTACAAAATTTTTATTCGCTTCAACAGCGAATGAATAACTGTTGCACATCGTTAGTAATATTGTGAATATATTCTGCATGATGTTACACACCTTTCATTACACTTGCATGCTCAGTCAATTGGGATCTCGTGTCGCTTTTCCAATTTTCCACGAGGTGAGTGTAGTCGACAGCGGCATAACGTGATTATCATACAAAAGCGATACGCTATTGGAGGTAAAATAAAATTGATATTTTCATTGTATTGAGTTTCCCAAATTTAACGAGTCTTTTGTAAGCTTCTCCTTTCTTTATTTGATAATTTTATTAGCGCAGTATTGTTTAATGCAAAGTAATTATACTTTTTGTCGTTTTCAATAAATTGCACAGTTTTTATAAGTCAAGATTTTTTTGCTGTCTGTGACAAAAAGACAGATTATCATTCAAATGCCGTGCTTCCATCTTTCATTATTTCCAGAAATCGTTTCCATCTTCTTTCCCAGACTCGTCAGTAGTAACTACCGTCGCAGCCAGACGACGGTAGTAGTTTACCCACGTTCGATCAGACAGTTATCCAACTCGCCATTCTCCGCTAAAGCAAAGGCGTGACATATATTTCTTAAAAATAGCTATATTTTTTATATTATGTACTTAAATTATATAAGGCAAAAATCTTTTAACGCAAATTTTATATACAGAACTATTTTTCCATTTTTTTCTATCCTCGTCTCATCTTAATACAATTTTTAAACAATATTAAGTGAATAGTTTTTATCACTTATTACTAGTAAAAATTTATTCACTAAGTATAAGCATATATTCAGGCCTATGACGGTTAAAGCTAGATCTTTTTTGCCTAAATAATTCCCAGTGAATTATCTATATCTTCAAAATTTATTCATAGTAAATAATTTTTATTATTCTGGTTGCAAAATTGTTATGAAAGATTAAATATAAGATTTTTGGCTATAAAAAATAAAAGATTTTACACCTAAAATAGACAAAAATATAAATAATCGATAATATATATTTATTTTCGTACATCACCTGTCATATTTTGATGTGTAACGATTTATTCAATTCATATCGACGTTAAGCGTTTAAAATAAACTGGATTACCCAGTTCTTAAAATAAGCTGATATTGATGAGCTACATATGTATTCATGATAAGCATCATCCCACATAAAACTATCGCTGACGTACATATAACAACCTTGTGCAAAAATTCATTTAGCAGTCTTCAAAAGAGAACTTTAAAATTAAACTAGAAAATGGATAAAAATATAAATAAACAGTAAATAAATTTTATTTTCGTATATATCGTGTTTCAGCTTGACGTGTAATAAATTATTCGATTCGTGTCGGCGTTTAAACTGAATTACTCCGTTCTCGGTTGATATTTTTATTGGAAAGCAGAATATTACGCAGTATTATTTCGATTCTGCGACGTTCGGCCAAAGTACTTCAACTCGCGACGTAAAATGAATTACGTCGTAAAATGTAAGAGCAGTGTCTTGTACTTGTCCAAGATAGGATGATGCATCATGACTCTGACTGCTCTGACGAAGTTTTCGTTGCCCTTCAGCAACATCCTTGGTTCTTTCGTCTTCGCTACTTTTGCGTGTCAAGGCTCATATTCTGGTTCCCATCCCCTTGGCCGTCATCTCTCGATCTACCCCTACTCGTCTCCTCGCGATGCACATCATCGCGCAGCAACAGTATCGGGGTAGTGCGTATTCGCGTTATAGCGACCGACTTAACCACTGGAGTACGCGCAGGCGTTCCACTGTCGTCGCCGGGCGGGAGAACGGGGAACGCTTGGGGATACGGCGAAATCCTGGCAAATCAATACGGCAATGTCCGCCGGTAACCAGGCAGTCGGGGCTCATCCTTTGCGAGTAACGTGTCGGAAGTCCACGCGCACGCTCAGTTATATCGGCAATACTGATTAGAACAGTCCATTGAATCAGTCATCTTCGTCTTCTTCATCGTCGCTGTGCAAACGCATCGATTCCTCTCATTTCCGCCTGAGCTTTGAATCAGCTTCACAAAGTGAAGTGTGCTAGTTGGAAGGAGAACGGTGGTACCGTCATACTTGAAGAAAACGGCTAACAGCCCTCTTGGGTAACTGACCTTGTGCAACAGCACGAACAGTTTCAGCTCTTGAGAAAAGGAGCTACTCGAGCAATTTCGTGACGAGGATCTTATAAACTGAAGTTATCTGCAACAATTTCTCATTTAGAGAGAAGAGATAGACACGCATATTTCGGAGCGCACGAGTCGTTTAGGGTCGTTTTACATTCGTCGTAGAAGATACTACGCATATACCGGAGAAGTTAGATAAAGAGAAGTCGGGTGGAGATTAGACGGTCTCGCGAGCTCTAATCAGAGCAGAGCCACTTGGTTGTTATTATCAACGTCACTAGGAAGATAGTCCGATCCCATCCCGGTACCACGATCGAATTAGTAGGGATTCGCCAAGCCGCCAGGCTACTACGACGTCTGGTAGGCGCGAGTGATTGGTCCTTCTGCACGGATTTACCGAAACACCCCCAAAACGGCAACCCGTCGTCGTCGTGGTGCTGCCGGGGCCCCGCCGTTAGCCGCGAGAGATCGCGAGAAGGGAGTTTGGGGAGATCGGCGGGAGGATCGGCCTGTTCGTACACGACCAGCACCGGTCACTGGTACGCCGCTTGCTGGCGGCCCAGTGAGATGGAAGAAAAGTCCTCTGCCCGATTCTCCGAATATCTGTTCGCCAAGATGGGCGGGCAGGACGTCTCGGCCTCTCAGGGTCCCCGCAAGGTGACCGCCGACACCAGAAAGTGGATGCGAGAGAACCTGCTACTCTTGGTCACCTTGTCCGGCGTACTCTTTGGCGTAATTCTCGGTGAGCGACGGAAATGTTTCTTTCTTTTTATTACGGAATACTAACAAAGCATTTTAAAAACTGTAGTTTCAGAATATTTTTTTGAAGAAGCTGTTTTATTTAGAAAAGAAAAGAGAACTTTTTCGTTAATTTCTAATTTTTAATTTTTCTTCTTTGCGTTAATTTCAATATAAATGCCGTACATGTAATTATTAAACAATATTAAATGAAATAGTTAAATAAAATAATATTAAGTAAAATTATTATTATAACTTCTAAATAATTAATAATACTTGATAATAATTTTGAATTATTTTGTACGATTGACTGTTGTTTGCAGGCGTTGCTGATGTTGAAAGACACAATAAGTAAAACAGAAATTAGGTAGAAAATAACTTGCACGATATAGAATATTTATTGTATATCGCAATCGTTAGTCGCGTTTCAATATTCCATCTCCTTACGTCAGCTATAAATTATGACCACCATTTACAATGGTTATCATATACATGATCTTTTTAGTAGTTCTATGTATGGAACTAACTACGTATTATTTAGATTTTAATCTTATTCAACCCAACAACAATTTTTTTCAGTCAGCAATTCTTTTATCACATCAAAAAATCTTAATGTCTCTTTTTACACTCATATAAAGATCTTATAATAATAAATTTATGCAAATGTTATAAATGATCGAAAAGCTAAATTAATCTCTTTAACAAAAACTTTTTATTCCGTAATATAACGCACACATATAATCATAATAAATACCTGTGACGTGTCGAATGTTTATAGAAATTTGACGTCAGCGGTAACACAATACGCTTTATGCTTACAATACAATTGAGCTTTTCGCATAGATCGATTTTACATGTATATCTCGAACGACCTAGTTCGAAATTATCATTTCGATTATGTAAAAATAAGCAACATCTTTTATCTCGTTAAAAGATGTTGCTCATCGAGATGTAAGGTTTCCTTTATAAATTTCATCATATTGATTCCTCTTGAAGCCAATATAATAAGGACTATGTTATCGCGTTTATAACACAGTAATGTACAGCTATTGTGAATATATTATTTGTTTATCTGCGAATGTTAATAAACGTTGAATTATATTCAATTAAGTGAGAATTGATTTTATTAGTTCCAGATGTACAGTGTTATAGAATTGAAATGATTTATTTAATTATAACTGAAATATAACACGAAGAACGTTTTATGAAATCATTAAATTACTTAATAAATCTGTACATTTGATGTAAACACACATAAGAATTAACGATTAGTAAAAGTATTAATAAAACAATCAATATACAAGTGGATGTTACAGCTACAAAAAATTTTATTTCTAACTTGATTCGGTATCTGATGGGCGAACGTATAACATCCATAGATACTTGTCTATAAGTAGAAACGTTGATGGTATTGTAATAATTTAAACGATGCCGCTCGATAGATCAGTCTAAATCAAAGCTTTCATTCATATTCTCTTTTTAAAGATGTAGAATTCAAGGTTACACTGTTAGTCCTCACATTGTCAATTTTTCTATCGGTTTTTTAATACAAGTGAAGCAATCCATTATTTGTATCACCTATCTCGATGAATGATTCATTTGAGAAAACATTATGCTTTATGCTTTATGGCCTTTATGAGGACGTAGATAGCTTATACAACTAATTACCATTAGATAGAAAAGAAATTGCTCAAACCTTCACCTTTTCGCCAACCGCGACGCCCCTTCTTCGCGATTGAATAATAAACCAATTGACCGTAATAAATTTAAATATAGTTCAAGGACAAGCATCCTGTAGAAGTTCTTAAGAGTTTTATACGAGCAAATGAAAAAGTAAAGTTTTCGTGGTGCAGAATCGCGGATTAATCTGATAATATCTCGTCGCAGGGTTCGGTTTGCGACCTCTGGACCTTGGAGACGATGCGGTGATGCTGATCAGTTATCCGGGAGAGCTTTTTATGAGATTGCTAAAGCTAATGATTTTACCTCTTGTAATCGCCAGCCTCATATCAGGTGAGCTTTTTCTCTCAGCTTGCATCATATACACGGTAAAGTGTACGTCGAATCGTAATCATTTTTATGTATCAGGCTCAGCGAGCTTAAACGCCAGGATGAACGGAATGATTGCCGTTCGAACTTTGGTGTACTTCATACTAACGTCCTTACTCAATGCTGTGCTTGGCGTAGCCCTAGTACTCGTTATTCATCCCGGTAATCCCGGCATCAGGGAATCGATCGGTCCTTCGCATCACGCGAGAGCCGTTAACATATTAGACAGCCTGCTCGATCTGGGAAGGTAAATTATATCTACGATGTCTCTCATCGCCCGATATCGATTCTGTCAATATCAATAATGCACACAGACTCTCTTGGAAGTTTTCCTATTAAAAAAAAACGGAAGTTCAATGGAGTATGAAGGTCAATACAGATATGTGAAACGATAGGAAAATAATGTTAATCAATTCCGATTTGTTTTCTTTTGAATTGCATTTAAGCGTCTCGCTGAATTTGTTGACTATCGTAGCTTTCGAATCGCCAACAAAAATAGGTCGAGCACTTCCGCTGCGGTACTCCACTGCGAAAACTTTGAGAAATGTGTGCACGATGATAACGCGACATTGAAATAATATCGATCTGTGATACTCTCGTCGTCGTTGAATCATTGTGGTAATACAGTTATCTAAGTCGGATTAAGGTCGTGGCATTTCACGAATCGTGAACTCAACTAAATGAAATTCATCGTGATCGCAGATACTACTCGTCTAGATGAAAATAGTTTATCGATCGTACGTGTTTTATTCACGCTAGGCGCGCTCAAAAAACGCCGTTTAAAAATCGCGCAACGCCCAGCGCGGTTCTCCAACGTTGGATTAAAATCGAGATATCGCGGCTCGGTTATCGGAAATCATTTAACAACTGTTCGCTTCAGTGACGCAATGTAAGATCGTTTTTATTGAAAAGTTGCCATAGCAGCTTGCGCCACTACTTAATCAATGTGTGAGGGCTATGAATAAAACGAAGGCCGCGGGAATGGCGTTATTTTTAAAGTGTGCAGCCCTTTCTCATGTAACACGCGAAGATTCTGCCTAGACTTATTTAATGTATTCAGTCTAATATTTGAAATATATACGATTTTGAATTAATGTTTTCGCAGGAACATGTTTCCGGACAATTTGTTTCAAGCAGCTTTCCAACAAGTAAGAATATCCCGATTCTTACGATATAAAAATGAAACGAAAAGAACTCGATATTGAATAATGACGTTGTTACAGGCGCACACAGTATATGTCCCGAAAAAGCAACCTTTCCAGAACGTCACCGATCAGTTACCAACGGCAGTCTTGGGGGATGAGGAATTGATGAGAGTGGTACAGTACAGAAGCGGCACGAACACTCTGGGTATAGTTTTCTTTTGCTTGGTCTTTGGTACGTTCCTGGGAACACTCGGCGAGAAAGGTCAGGTCGTTATAGATTTCTTCAAGGCTGTGTTCGAAGTCATCATGCGAATGGTCTCAACTGTAATGTGGTGAGTGTCATGAAAATTGGAAATAACTTTATGTCGCTTTATAATGGAATGAAAATGTTTGGCTTCCAGGATGACACCCATCGGCATTACCTCTGTAATAGCGGGCAAAATACTTGGCGTGGACGATCTGGTACTGGTGATGTCGCAGCTGGCGTGGTTCATCGTCACGATCGCGATCGGTGTGTTTCTCTATCAGCTGGTGATCATGCAGCTGATATATGCGGCCTTCGTTAGAAAGAACCCCTTTAAATTCTACGCCGGCCTGGCCCAGGGTACCCTCACCGCCTTCGCCATGGCATCAACGTGAGTCGTCGATCTTCGAACCCGAGCCCGACCTTGAGAGAATCCATTTCGCCTGCCTCACAGGGCCTCGGTCAACGTTGTGATCGTATTTTCTGACCTCGTAGCCTCCGTCCTTCATCGGTTATCTTCCGCAGATATTCTGTACTTCCTTCCTTCCATCCTTTTGTTTCTTGTCACGCGGACCTTTTCTATGTTTACGCGAAATGGAGCTGGTCTGTCGCGCGATTGATATAGTGCGAGTAATTAATTTCAAAACATTTTAACGCCGTAAAAGAAAATAGACAATGAGTGATACGTGGCGATGAAAGACGTGTATTGATCGAATCGATTGATGAAGACAATATGTTTCAGCCAGCTGGTGTGGAGGCTTTGCGAGGCCACAATCCCGATATTCCTTTCCAAATCATTCGAGCCAGCTTTACATAACTTTCAGAAAAATTGCTTCATATAATCCTCTTGCTTAGTTTCTATATAAAAACGTTGTGGAAGAGCTGGCCAATTTCCAAATTATCCTTATTAGTCTTTCTTCCATATATGACAATCTCTTTTAATGTTTGCTTGCGAGGAGAGCTCGCCATGCCACATGAGAAAGAGAAAAAGAGGGAAAGAGGTATGCAGTTCCGGGTAGCACTTAGAATGCTGATACTACCGGTTCCCGACTATCAAATCATACGAACTTCCGCAAGCTCGTAGCCAGATTGTTACGCAAATCGGAATTTCGTCGTCGTGCAAAATATAACATATTATTACGACAAATTAAAAATTACGGGATTACTTTCAAAATACAGCAGCGTTATCGCGAAAAGTGAAACTACTCGGCAGCGATGTTGCCCAAACCGGCGATCTGCTGACTCCGTGTTACCTGGACTGATTCGCGGTGTGGAAGTCTTCTAAGGATTCCCATAATCGGTATCTTCGAACTCTTCTCTCGCGATGGCGAGGAAGGGGAAGAAGAAACCGAGCCAAAGGAGACCTCCACGCCAAACCATACGATTAATTTTAAGTCGTTTTTAACAATGAATTGGCGTAACTGAAAAAATATTGGTTGCTTGTGCCGAGCTCGCTCTTGCAGGTACGACGAGGATGTCGATGACCGGCTGTACTCCTGAACAACGTGCGATTATTTATCTCTCTTGAATAATTCATTTTTGAGAGTCACGCAAAGCAACGATCATTTTTTCAGTTCGCACTTACGAATCAAATTCAGTTTGCACCTCTGAAATCCTTCCTTTCTTTCTTTCAGTCCAACATACGTCTAATTCTAATACGAAATGAATTTATCCTGTACCATTCCAATTATTCCTATTTCCATATTCCTGTCACTGTCATTCCCTCCCCCTTTCCCACCTGGTATTATTACTTTTAGCAGTGCTCAATATTGTTTATGATCCAGCTAGGTTTTATACAGTTGTTATCTAACTCAATCTGTTTCTCTGTGGATTAACTGTTTCCAGAAGAGAGCGTACACAACTGTGCGTACACTGTGACTGACTGAGAAACTGTTCTCAGTGTATCTGAACAGAGACTGTATGAATATCATGATGATGTATTAGAACACGCACTGCACGCGGCCTTTTGCAGGTGGTTGACTCTGAGAGACAGAGGGTAGCGCTTGGTAAGTAATTGATGGCCGCAACATGAAGGTACATACGATTGTCTGTTGTAGAATCCACTATGTGGTGGGCGATGCGGCCTGGCGGATATCCTGGCAAATTGTGATCTAAGCTAATCCCGGTTGATTTTCAGGTTGTTCTCACGGTCATTCTGGCAGTTGTTCTGGCACTCTTTCTACTATCCGCAGTTAATAATGCGTCGATATTAATTCCGAGTATTCTTCCTTCGTTCGGATACCGTTTTTCTGTAACCCTTTTGTACATCCGTTCTGTTTCAACTCAAGCCTTGATCGGTTACATCTCTGAGAAACTCGATAAATAAACCATCGCTATATCTGTCCCGTGAATTTACGCCAGAATGACCATCACGACTGCAGCGACAGGCAACGTGGAGCGAATCTTTCTACCATCAACGGAAATGTGCTTTGCCCGATTTTTGCTAACGCAGCTTTGTACAGGGCTGCCGCACTTCCTGTGACTTTTCGTCTGATGACCGAGAAGCTCAAAGTCGACCCTAGAGTCACCAGATTCGTCCTGCCGATCGGTTGCAATATCAACATGGATGGTACCGCGCTCTTCGTCGCCGTCGCCAGCATATTCATTGCCCAGATGAATGGTATCTTCATGGGCTTTGGGGAGATCATCACCGTTATGTAAGTCTCCCTTGCCTTGCAATAAGCCTTTTTTACCGAATCAATTTTTTTTTATTTTATCTAATTATATATTTAATTATATTTAATTATGTATTTATCGTCTCATTTTTTATTATCATCTCGTTTTGCAAAGTTTGACGTCCACTGCTGCTTCCGTCTCGTCGGCCTCGGTACCAAGCGCTGCGCTCGTTCTGCTGTTAGTTGTCCTAAGCGCTATTGATGCTCCCGTTAATGATGTTTCTCTTTTATTCGCAATCGATTGGTTTGTGTGAGTATCAGGCAGAATATTCTTTTATTCATAAAATGTCTTGTCTCATAACATGTCCTATTATTACGATATGCTACGAGATAAACTAATAAAAGTCTCGTTTCTAAGAATTATAGGAAAAGAAATATCATATATGTTATACTTTTTTTGAAAATCCTTTCAACAATTAACAAAATATTTTAACATTACCTGTTAATATGAATATAATTTTATATCGATTAGGGATCGGATAAGAACCACCAATAATATGCTAGGAGATTGTTACGCCGCTGCAGTTGTCGAGCAGCTCTCGAAAAAGGAATTGATGGCATTGGACGCAGCAGCTTATCAAGTAAAATACAAAATAATTATAAAATAACTTTATAATTAATTACGTTGTGTTAATAACATACTGAAACTAAAAAAGCGTGTTTAATGTTTACTAGATAATTCGTCTCATTTGTTCCTGCATGCAAAACGGTTTTTATTTTCACGCTGATGTAACAATGCGCAATAATTTATTTTTAGTCGGAGACTGTGCTGCCAACCACTATCGCAAATGGATGTCTTACGGCCAACAGGGTACCTGATCCTGACACCGTTGTTGTCGAGATGCAAGACGACGCGCGGATAACGGGGATCGCCAAGTAAACACGCTTGTTGGTAGGGCTAGGCTATCACTTTGTACGATCATTATAAGATCATGTCAGTTTATTAATAACATCGCTTCGCGAATCGCTGATTTATCTGCCAATTAGCAAACGGAAGACTTGACGGGAAAAAATGAAGATTGTCAAAGCCAGCTAAGCTTGATAAAATTCACACGCATTTTGCGCACACATTAAATCTTCCTTGTCATAAGAATAAACATTAAACAAATGACAATTTCGCATTTTTTCTGTGTCAAGTTTTCAAGTTGAATGGCAAAAGCGTTCTACAAATTTCTTCCTTTCTTTCAGCTTCGGAATATTACACATGTCGAGAAGTGTGACGGAAGAGACCGTTTGACTAATGGTTAGTCCGGCGAAGTAATTTAACATCGCAGAATCTCATCAGTAAATAAATTGATTCTGCCATCTGTTTGAATTGTTCAACGAGGATCAAAAACGTACTTTGCGCCAAATGCGCGTTTAGTTCCTCTTTTTGTTTTAAACAATCCTCGAAGATTCATCAAGATCTTTCGTAAGGAGTTTTATAAGACAAGATGGAAGCTCTTGCGGAAAATGCGATTGCTAATGAAGACTCGAAGATATTTAACTGTCAATAAGAACGGACTACATGTTACATGTGCAGGTACAGCAATAAAAATTGAAATTACGATCGAGGCTTCCAAAGACTCGAAGGTAGCGCATTTTGTCAATCGTTGTGACGATAATAATTACATTGGATATCGTATAGGCAAAAAGTCGGGATATAAGTCGTTCAACGACTTTTAAAGGGATCAGGCTGGATTAATAAAATATTAATTCGATTGACCGACTCACATTCGAATAAATGATAGATGATGATCGTAGATTAACGATACACCCCTAGTAAACCCCGTAGATGATCGACGTTAAAGACCGTTTCTACGATCGATTATATTAAACAGCATGTCGAATGTGGTGCCTTATTTTGCGCCAAGCAGGCAGGCGCGATGAAAGTAAAATGTCTTGCCTGAGTTTTTTTTTCTTTTTCGGGTATACCCTCGCGTGATATATGTATCGCGTGTAAAACGCCGATTCCAATATATCTGACGCTTCTCGATGTGACTTAGAACATCCTAGCTCCGAAATCTGAAGATTGCAGAGCACGACTGTCATCAGTGACGCGACGAATATATAGCTTTCTATCGGAAATAAAGAAATTTTTTACGATGTTTGCGGAGGGAGCTTGATGTGATAACTGTTAGGTAGCTATGTGCATACTACACATATCTAGAATAAAATAAATAATGTTTTAATTACCCTATAATGTTATTACTAGAATACAGTTATTACTAGGCTACATTTAAAAGACCGCTCGCTTCGCGTATCGCGTACCGATTACGTCACTGATCACAATCCAAATTAATGAGGGGAGAAATTAAGAAAATTATACGGCAACAATATACGTGTTCAGCGGAGATTAATATAGACTCCACGCTGAAAATACAGCAAAGAAGACTTACAAGCGAGTAAAACTTTAAATAGATTTTAAAAGCCATATCGATCTAACTATCGGACCATTAATTGACGGAAACTGATGTATAGAACCTTCCTATGTGTTCTGCTTTTGAAAAACGAAATGTTTTTGCGAAAGAGTGCTTATCGAGACAGAAATTGAAACCTTGGACGTGTATTTTGTTAAAATTGGAGATAACATTTTATACTATTTCAAAACTATTTCAAATTTTTAAAAATAAATTTCTCTTTCATATGGGAACAAAAAGTATTTGAAACTTTCAATAATGTTCGTTTATATTAATTGTAATTATACGGACGTCCAAGATTTTATCTCGTCGCACTCTTTTTCGATTAGTGCTCCCTGTCGTAGAAGAACATACCTTCCAATATGATGTTGTCCAGATCGTAGATTAGAATAAACAAGTTCGTGTTTTTCGATCGTACGTGGAAGATTATACTAATTCTTCTATGAATGACAAAGAGAACGGAATATTTAAATAGCGCAGCTCATTGTCGGGCGCCCACAAGACTGGATATACAATATGATAATACCATTTTGCTAGACGTAATACTGGGTAAACGATTCCTATACATGGTTTCGCTAATACTAGGCACTAGATAGGTAGGTCGATACGTGTTTCATCGTAGAGACTGTTTAAATGTACAAACTGTTTGAGAAGATAGAAAGAGAGTACGTAGTATTATTTTTAGCAATTATTACTTATTCATCCATATAAATTGCAATACATTATTTAAATTCTCTTGGGAGTTAATTTATTCGGAATAAATAATATTATTTCACGCGCGCCTTTTATGGAAATCAACCGAAAAGTAAATGCAAAACTGGATTCTTTTATTTTTTGAATACTCAAAGCAAGTATTAATAAAAATATTTAGAAATTATAAATTGTAAATGGTAATTTGTATTTTGCCGTAAAACATCGAAATGGCATCGAAATAGATTATGAAAAGAAATTAGGGAGGAATCATAAACTATGGAACAATTTATAATTAAAAGTAGAAAAAAAACTTGCTACTTATAATTGATAATTATTTTTTAAATTTAATTACGAGTTAATTTTGTTAATTATAATTTTTCTATTTTGTTAAAAATATTATTTTAAATGATATATCGGGTGCTCCTGTTACTCGGCACGTTTTATGCTCAAGCATTGAAAAAGTGGGATACTACATAATAGCTGCGAGAGTAAAACGAGTGGAGAAAACATGGAATAAACTTATCAAAATAATCCGAAGAATACGTGTATACTTGTAAGGCTCAACGTGTTGTATAACAAAAAGCAGATTTATACGTGGAAGCATTTGGTCTTCTTTATTAAAAATCCCTGTCGCTTTCCCTCTTTCCAATTTCTTATTAGATAATGTGTTTTGCGTGACAAATTAAAATTAGTAATTAAATTAATTTTATTCGAATAAGATGAGTGTCGGAATATGATAAAAAAATACAACTTCCTAAAAAATTCATTTATTTAAGGCCCACATCGCATTAAGGCCCTCAGCTTGGAAGTCTTTGTACAGAGAACAATTTTATATAAAATTACATACATTTATATATATATATA